TTTTGGTTAAGTTACGTATTGTAATAATCACAACATTTATTCAAGATAATAAATTTATTACTAACAATCTGATGCAAGAATGGTCCTTTTACGATGTTAGAGTCGGGTGCAAAATCCCTAAAACCATCAAAATTAGTCCTTCGAACATAAAAATGCAATTTTGAGGGGTCAATTTGTGAGATAATCACAAAAGTTATTAGGAAAATGATAAAGAAATTTAATACTACAATCTGATGCTAAAATGATTAAACTACGATGTCAGACTCAGATGCAAACTCCTAAAACCATCAAAAATTTGGTCGCTGGTATAAATACGAATTTTTGGGGTCAATTTGTGAGATAATCACGAGGGTTATTAGGGAAAGTGATAAAAAGTTAATACTTACAATCTGATGCAAAAATGGTCCTTCTACTGATGTCAGACTCAGGTGCAAAATCCTAAAACCATCAAAATTAGTCCTTCGAACATAAAAAATGCAATTTTGGGGGTCAATTTGTAAAGATAATCACAAAAGTTATTAGGGAAAATGATAAAAGAAATTTAATACTTACAATCTGATGCTAAAATGGATTCGCTACGATGTCAGTTCAGATGCAACTCCCTAAAACCATCAAAAATTGGTCTCGAACATAAAAATGCAATTTTGGGGTCAATTTGTGAAATAATCACAAGGGTTATTAGGAAAGTGATAAAAGAAATTTAATACTTACAATCTGATGCAAAAATGGTCCTCCCTACAAGTCAGACTCAAGTGCAAAATCCCACAAAACAAGCAAAAATTAGTCCTTCGAACATAAAAGAAATGCAATTTTGGGGATTTTGATAATCATAAAGTTATTTAGGAAAATGATAAAGGAATTAATTACTACAATCTGATGCAAGAATAGTCTTTCTGCGATGTCAGACTCAGGTGCAAAATCCTTAAAACAAGCAAAAATTAGTCCTTCGAACATAAAAATGCAATTTTGGGGGTTAATTTGTACGATAATCATAAAAGTTATTTAGGAAAATGATACTGGAACTAATTACTTACAATCTGATACCAGAATGGTCTTTCTGCGATGTCAGACTCAGGTGCAAAATCCCTATAACAAGCAAAAATTAGTCCTTCGAACATAAAAATGCAATTTTTGGGGGTCAATTTGTACGATAATCATAAAAGATATTTAGGAAAATGATAAAGAAATTAATTACTTACAAACTCATGTAAGAATGGTCCTTCTACGATGTCAGACTCAGGTGTAAAATCCTTAAAACCATCAAAAATTGACCGAAGCTCAAAACTTTCTGTTGCTAGAAGTTTCTAATTGATAGATGGCACTAGCAATGCACCCTTTTCAAAAATAAATAGTTTGAGGGATCGTTAAATATGAATATGTGATCAGGTAGAAATAACAGAAATAATTATAATTCGAAAAAACTTTAAAATATTTCTTCCTTATACAAAGAAAACACACAGGCATACATTTTGGGAGTCAATTTGCGTGTAATAATCACAACATTTATTCAAGATAATGAAATTTATACAACAATCTGACGCAAGAATGGTCCTTTACGATGTTAGAGTCAGGGTGCAAAATCCTCAAAACCATCAAAAATTAGTCCTTCGAAACATAAAATGCAATTTTGGGGTCAATTTGTGAGAGATAATCACAAAAGTTAAGTTAGGGAAAATGATAAAGAAATTTAATACTTCACAATCTGATGCAAAAATGGTCCTTCTACGATGTCGAGACTCAGATGCAAACTCCTAAAACCATCAAAATTAGTCCTTCGAACATAAAAATGCAATTTTGGGGGTCAATTTGTGAGATAATCACAAAAGGTTATTAGGAAAATGATAAAGAAATTTAATACTTACAATCTGATGCAAAATGGTCCTTCTACGATGTCAGACTCTCTACGATGTCAGACTCAGGTGCAAAATCCCTAAAACCATCAAAAATTAGTCCTTCGAACATAAAAATGCAATTTTGGGGGTCAATTTGTGAGATAATCACAAAAGTTATTAGGGAAAATGATAAAGAAATTTAATACTTACAATCTGATGCTAAAATGGTCCTTCTACGATGTCAGACTCAGATGCAAACTCCCTAAAACCATCAAAAATTAGTCCTTCGAACATAAAAATGCAATTTTGGGGGTCAATTTGTGAGATAATCACAAGGGTTATTAGGGAAAGTGATAAAGAAATTTAATACTTACAATCTGATGCAAAAATGGTCCTCCTTCGAAGTCAGACTCAAGTGCAAAATCCCTAAAACAAGCAAAAATTAGTCCTTCGAACATAAAAATGCAATTTTGGGGGTCAATTTGTACGATAATCATAAAAGTTATTTAGGAAAATGATAAAGGAATTAATTACTTACAATTTGATGCAAGAATAGTCTTTCTGCGATGTCAGACTCAGGTGCAAAATCCTTAAAACAAGCAAAAATTAGTCCTTCGAACATAAAAATGCAATTTTGGGGGTTAATTTGTACGATAATCATAAAAGTTATTTAGGAAAATGATACTGGAACTAATTACTTACAATCTGATACCAGAATGGTCTTTCTGCGATGTCAGACTCAGGTGCAAAATCCCTATAACAAGCAAAAATTAGTCCTTCGAACATAAAAATGCAATTTTTGGGGGTCAATTTGTACGATAATCATAAAAGATATTTAGGAAAATGATAAAGAAATTAATTACTTACAAACTCATGTAAGAATGGTCCTTCTACGATGTCAGACTCAGGTGTAAAATCCTTAAAACCATCAAAAATTAGTCCTTCGAACAGAAAAGGGCAATTGTTTAAAAATTAAAATTTAACAAACTATTATACACTTTCAATGCGTCTGGCAGGATGATAGAACCCACCAAACTGTCTGGCGACTAAGAAAATACTATATTATTATAATATTTCCTAATATGACGATACCAGTTGGAACCATACCAGGTGTCTGACAATGAGCAGCGCATGTTATAATAATGTTACGAATAAAATATGCAAAAATGGAGTTTGCTAAAATAACGAAACTTAGGTCATCATTTATACATCTTTATTGGCTGTTAACTGCCAAAGGAACCACGATCCAGGTTTCATAATTAGGAATTGTTCTTACCTGCGTTGGAGACACACATAGGCAAAATTTCATCTTTTCTAAAATGACTAGTCGTCTGGCCGTCACGGGCTCTTGCTCTATAAAGGAGATAGAAAGGAACGAATCGCAAAGATATCGACGACAGTGATGATTATTATTAAATATTTGTTAAAATAAAATTACTATTCTCTGAAAATTTCATGTTTAAACAATTTAACTATTGCAACTTTTATACACTCTCAATGCGTCTGGCAAGATGACAGAACCGACCACACTGTCTGGCGTAAAAAGATACACAGTTTCATAGCTCTCTGCAATTATGCAGACACATTAGTGTATTCGGCTTTCCTAATATAACAAAAGTAAAAAAATTAAAAAAATATTATAATTTAGGGGTGTCTGGCTAGGGTTGGAACCATACCAGGTGTCTGGCAATGAGCAGCGCATGTTGTAAGAATATTACGAACAAAATATGTAAAAAAGGAGTTTGCTAAAATAACGAATTTGAGGTCATCATTTGTACATCTTTGTTGGCTGTTAACTGCCAAAGGAACCACGATCCAGGTTTCATAATTGGGGATCGTTCTTATCTGTATTGGAGACACACATAGACAAAATTTCATCTTTCCTAAAATGATGAAAGTCTGGCCGCCCGGGCTCTTACTCTATTATATTTATTTCCATTTCAGTGTTACGGTGTTATAATTGTAACACTTTACCTTGCAAAATTGAAATAAATAATTATATAACAAATTTCGAAACATTATTTAAAACAACAACTCTTTCTCGACAATGAAAATACTAAAAATTTCAAACAAATTTAAAAAAATCATTTAAGGTTTTCGAGATATGGCCTGTTTTCTCCCGCATGTTTTGAAAAATGCAACAAAAAAGTAAATTTTGGCGGCCATTTTGAGGCAGTTACGACCGAATTTCGCGGGGGTTTGAGAGGTGCATCTTTAAAATGCACTCATGCCCTATCATAAAATTAAAAAAACACTAAAATATAACAAAGAGTTCCCGAGATATGGCCTGTTTTCCATCGCGTGTTTTGAAAAATGCAAAAAAAAAAGGGCAAACTTTGTCGGCCATTTTGAGGCAGATATGACCGAATCCCGCGGGGTTTTAGGGCTGCATCTTAAAATGCACTCTTGCCCTATCATATAATAAAAACACTAACATATAGCATAGGGTTCCCAAGATATAGTCTGTTTTCCATCTCGTGTTTTAAAAAATGCAAGAAAAGGGCAAATTTTCTCGGCCATTTTAAGGCAGTTACGGCCGAATTTCGCGGGGTTGGAGAGGTGCATCTTAAAAATGCACTCATGCCCTATCATAAAATAAAGAAAACACTAAAATATAACAAAGGGTTCCCGAGATATGGCCTGTTTTCCACCACGTGTTTGGAAAAATGCAAGAAAAGGGCAAACTTTCCCGCCCATTTTGAGGCAGTTACAACCAAATTTTGCGGGGTTTGAGAAGTGCATTTTAAAAATGCACTAATGCCTTATCATGAAATAAAGATAACACTAAAATCTAACAAAGGGTTCCCGAGATATGGCCTGTTTTCCAGCGCGTGTTTTGAAAAATGCAATAAAGGGCCAACTTTGTCGGCCATTTTGAGGCTGTTACGACCAAATTTCGCGGGGTTTGAGAGATGCATCTTAAAATGCACTCATGCCCTATCATAAAATAAAGAAAACCCTAAAATATCACAAAGGGTTTCCGAGATGTGGCCTGTTTTCCACCGCGTGTTTTAAAAATGCAAGAAAAGGGCAAACTTGGGAGGCCATTTTGAGACAGATATGACCAAATCCCGCGGGTTTTAGGGCTGCATCTAAAAATGCACTCTTGCCCTATCATATAATAAAAACACTAAAATATAACATAGGGTTCCCAAGATATGGCCTGTTTTCCACCGTAAAGTTTGAAAAGAGCCCAACTATTCCTCTATTGTGAGCAAAAAAATACTAAACAGTTAATTCTGAGTTGTATCAGCAGGTTATGCGGCTATCTTGTGTCTTTGCAATACGCGGTGAAGCATGATAACAAAACTACATACATACAAACTAATATTCGACGCATATATTAAAAAGAAACTATAATTTAATTGTAAACTTACCAATGTAGAAGCTAATCGGATTGCAAGGCACTGCAAATAAATAGAATAAAAAAAACATAAGTTGAAACAAAAACATTTCATACAATATGACAATATTATAATTACACGTCGAACTAAACAAACAATCTGTGCTGTTTACTTATATACTCCACGATGGGTTCTAATGCTGAATAAATCAACACGGGGGCGACATGTATCCGATTCACTTAGCAACTCTACACCTTGTGAGTTGCTAATACACTTACTTAACCGGTATTTATGGACAATAAACACGCACATATTAAATAACATAACTTTAGTAGCTATAATTAAATAGTGGTTTGCTAATTAAATATAATGTAAATTTAGAAAACAGAGGTCCGAACAAACGATACGCGACGCGAGAAATACGTCTCAACCACCCAGTGACCGGCACGCAACTGGGCGCAACCCGCGGATAGTGCATGCCGTAGCCGAGCAAGCTACGACGCGATAGTTTACGATAAGAAAGCAAGAGATGCGCAAAGCCGGCGCGTCGATACCACGCGACCTTGTGCGCGAATTGCAATAGACACGATATCTGCGATCTAAACAAAACTAGAAACTGCTGCATTCGGCGTGAGAGGATTTCAGCGCCGGCACTTGGGAATATCATGCGTTACATTCAACGCGGCGGAAGCGATAAGAAAGTAAATTGTGTTCAAAACAAATACAATTCTTATGCCAAATGCCAACGTTTGTCGATAAATATAGAAATAAAGAATACAATTCTATTTTATGATGTTTAGTTCATGCTAGTACCATCTCTGAATGATACAGGTAGGAGTGCCAGAATTTAGATTATTATAATTAATGAAAAATTGCACGATTTTACATTAATTATTAAAGTAGTGCTGTACAATTTTTATTAATCGCAAAATGTGTGCTAAAAATCGGTTTTCCCAAGCTTCCACAGAGAAGCAATAATCAACAAAAAAATTTCACAATTTCAAAAAGAACAAAAATGAGCAAGTCTCCAACTCGTGGTTATGGAATTAAAATCACAAGAAACGTGAATTGTATGTAAAATACGCATGCAGATCAGCTGTCAACCGGCTCGCAACTGTCCACAATCCGCTGAATAAGATAAAAACCTAACAAATACAACCGGTGATAAGGCTGCCCGCTACCCGCACCCCGCAGTCGAAAATCTACTGCAATCTACGGCACTACTACGATCACAACAACTAAAGTAATGCAAATAAATTGTAACAATAATATTGACATAGTGTAATTTACACAAATAAAATTGCCTATAATTTTAAATTGTAATTATGTTATTCCGTGAATGTTTCGTATTTTTTAATATGGCTGAATTCTGTAACAATAATTATTTATTTATATTTTGTGCAGCTTATACTCTTTAAAGTCTTCAAATTTATGCCAAAGAGTAAATTAGATCTAACAAACTGTCGAGATATAAAGGAGAACACAAAGTCTTTGAACAAAATTATTATCCATGTCAAATTTCTGCTAATATGAAAACCTACAGGGCATGCTCGTGTTATAAATGATTTAAATATTAATTTTCCTTATCAACCAATCAATCACTGCAAATCCAAGCAAATAGTATTGAAATAAAGTGGAAATAGAATATTGGCTACACCAAGTTTTACATTGTTGGAATGCTGCGTTCCGTCGGAACAAACATTTCATGTTAAACAACATCAGCGTTCCGTCGGAACGAAGATTTCATGTTAGAATCACTCTTTACGCTAAAATAACTCGACTCAACAGCTTTTGAACAGATGCTCATATCAAAAGTAATTTTCACAAGAAAAATTTTGTTGCGAGTTAATTTTAATTATTATTGAAAATAATAAGATATCGACCGTTGGCGATCAAATTATTTTAGTATATTTTATATTTCCGTGTTCACACGGTAATATTAAAATAATAAATTCATGTATTTATATAACTTGGAAATAATGTAATTGTTAAATATAGTTGAAAGAAATATACTAGTGATAGGCATTGTCAATAAAAACATGGCAATCTAGTTGGTTATCGTATGTTCAACGCGATAAAAAGAACTGTTTATAAACAAAAACTGGTCAAAAGACTACAAGTTCATTGCCAGCAATTTTACTTCAAATATCATACACCTAGCGACATCTAGTGAACACTCTTCAGTACGTAGTCGAATAACCTCACCATTCAAAACAAATACACGTGTGTTCACCACACGATTTCTAAACTCAACTTTTAATGTGAAATTAAGTTTGTTCACGATGAAAAACAAATCGGCACGACACAAAAGTGAAAACACTTTTAAGGTATTCAATTTTTTTGAATTTCACGACCCAAAAATATTAATTACATCACTTATTTGTTTCTAGTTTATTCCCTTTGCGGAGAGAATCAACAACATAGATGTGGACATATTCCACAAAGTTGCACATGAATATGAAACACAACTGGAAGAGGATGAATGCATCTTTCATCAGACTATCAATAAATGGAATGTGCTCAATCTCACAGAGTTCTATGACAATTTCAAGAAAGACATTCATGCTTTCAATGTTGTCACACTACCACAGTTGATTTTCAACAAGGAGAACATCAAAACTGTGCTAGTGAAACATTTACTACTGAAAAATGAACTTGCACTACAGCCTTTACTTGAGTATGACATTTACAACCAAATATTAAAATAACTATTAAACTAATAATTGTCATTTGTTTCTAGTTTGGTGGTTGCTTTAGCAAAAGACTTGAGACAAGACTTCTATCCTTTCTATCATGACTTTTTTGAAGTATTTGTTAGCATACTACACACAAATAATTCAGAAGTATTGGAGTGGACATTCCACTGTCTGGCTTATTTATTTAAATTTCTTTGGAGGCCAATGATTGCTGATATTGGTGCAGTATTTAAACACTTATTGCCTCTTCTTGGAGAAGAATATCATGGCTACATCAACAACTTTGCTGCTGAGAGTTTTGCATTTGTGGCTAGGAAAGTCAAAGATTTCAAGAGTTTTCTTTTTATGATACTTAAAAATGTCAAACAATACAATAATGTAAGTTGAAACTTCTGAATATGGTTTCATGATTATTTACTAACATTATTTTATTATATTTAGGGTATATCGGGTTGTGGCCGCTTAATATACGAAATCCTCAAGGGAATAACCGGGCACTTTCACAGTTCTTCAACAACAGTCCTGCCAATCTTAATAGATTCACTCCAAGAAAAGAATTCTCACCAAGAAGAGTTATATCAAGTGCTAGAAAAAGTGATTGAACATATTACCACAACAATCAACCCTCAACAAGGAGATCTACTTTATACAACATTACTTGCAAGTATAAACAAACAAATTAAAAAAGATCTACAAGACGAGCACGTTGAGAAAACTTTAAAATTGCAATTAACACTATTGGGGCAATCTTTAGAGTATAAATCCGGTAAATTTTTGAACAATTCAACAGCAAGTGTTGTTCAAGAGATCCAAAAACTTGTTACGACTAATTTACCGACAGATGTTACTCTTACTGTCGTACAAATTGCAATTGTATTGCTACAATCACACGCAATAAATTTGACTCAAGCTCAAGCAAGCTCATTAGTACAGAAAATTCTCATTCATAAAGAACAACAGGTTCTTTTGTACTTCGTTGAGAATACATTTGACTATCCGCTATTTAAAACTTCTATACTACCGACTTTTTTGAGATATTTCGGTCAAACAATAACTGCTGAAGGGGATACCATAAAAGTCGATGAGAAATTTTTGACTTTAATATCAAAATTATTACTGCACAAAGCGCCAATGTGCTTTGCCAGCGAATCAAATGCTGATTTAATTGCATGGTTGCCTTATACAATTGATTGTAACAAGAATGAACAGATAACTAAATATCTAATGAAATTTATTACTGTTGAGTGTGATAGTCTTGAAGAAGCAATCAGTAGACTACTGATTATTCCACATTTGAAAGGCATAAACACTAATAAAACAGTACAAGAAGTTATTTACAAAAATATAGAGAAACTTATTGAAGAAATTGTCAAAGTTAAAGAAACAAATTCACTGGACAAATATTTATTACTCTTGATTGTAAATCTTGAAATACACGTTCACATATCTCAAGAGTTAGACGTGACTGAAGCCCGGAACTTATCAAAAAGTTTAATGAACTCTTTACTGGATTTATCTACAAATTATCAGCACTTGTGGTCTTTGAAATGCTTAGATTTGTTCTTTACATTTACAAGTTTAAAATGTTCACAACCCAATGAGATTCTAAACGAAGAAACGCTCAAACAACTGCACTCAACTTTAAAATACAACTTCAATTCACCGTATCATAAGTTGAGACTTCACACAACGCATATTTACACTTTGTTTGAATCATCTGTATCACACAAAACACAAGAACACAGTTGGAATGTGTTTTCGTTGTGTTACAAAGTCGAATCGACAAATGCACAGGTGGATACCTACAGAGATCAGTTGCAGTGTTTAGAAAAGTTTAACTTTGACAAACCACAAATGCAACTTGCGAAGGATACAGATTTTCTTGATTTGCCTCTGCGATATTTATGTGGTGTATTATACATGAACTTTAAACTACTTTGGGATCCTGTTGTTGCTATAATTGCTTCACAAGCGAATGGAATGGAAATTGATGCGTTTTGGAAGGTTTACGTTGAAGAATTACAAACCGCTGCTAAAAACGTACGCCAGACACCGGTTGTTGTACAAAATAATGTGTTTACCGATAATAAACTGGATGATTATGAGTTTGTTTATGATTTAATTGATAGAAGTCGTTTGATTGATGATAAAACCGACTTTTTGAACTATCGAATCTTAGTTTGGAAAGCAATGACTTCCTTTGCGCATGTTGCGGAAGCTAGAAATCGAGACGTGGTCAATTTGTTTCTTTCGTTCGTTAACGAGGAATACATGAGGACAAATAGTGATGTTGCATTTGTTTTGAATATCAAACAAGCAACTGAAGAAGATATGGAAGTCACAATGGATGAAGATGTAGAGAAAACTGAAGAAGAACTGGAATTGGAACGTATTAAGAAAGAACTAAAGAAACCAGTGCCAAAATATGGCGGAAAAGCTGTGCTCAAGTTACTGCTACATCATCTTCAGGTATTTGCGAAAGTAAAGAGTCCCAAGTCGATGGTGAGGGAACCCGAATTGTACAAATTATATTTCGAGTTTTTGGCACACAAGAACGCAGAAGTACAGAAAGCAGTCTTAGACTGTTTGATGACATATAAAAATAAAAACGTTACGCCGTACTCTACACATCTCTATAACTTAATCGATGAGAAACAGCTAAAAAACGAACTTGTTCAATTCAAACTGGATAAAAGTTCAGAACATATTCAACCACCGCATCGTGAGGATCTCATTCCGCTGGTGTTGAAGATAGTTTACAGTAAAATGGTGATGAGAACTGGTGGCAAAGCTGGCGGGCAACAGAGACGCAACATGATATTTCGATTCCTCAGTGGATGCATGGAAAGTGAAATGTTGCTCTTCATCAAAATGGCGTTCAAGTTCTACGA